GATGCGTAGATTTGATATTCTTTTAGAGATTGGGTGTCAAGATGGGTTTATTAGACTTTCTGTATTTGTGCCATAACATCAGTTTGTTGGCATTCACGTCTCTCACCCAATGATAATAATAATACCAACGAGACGACAGTTTGACTATTGTTTGAATGTTCATTTATGATACCGAAGGAATACAAAAATCGCCTTGAAAAGCTAGTCAATACATTAACTGGACATACGTCAGTATTGCATTGTACCACATGCGGAAATATGTTATAGACGTCACCCAGAAAACTGAAAACTAAAATATACAAGATACTGTAATTAAAGTCAAAAAGTAAAATTGCCTTTCTATAGATACGAAAGTGCCATCAGCTAAAAGTATATATTCTAAAAATATGACAGAATAAATCAATGTACATATCGTGAAATTGAAAAAAAAACAAAACAAAAAAAAAAAACGCCTAAAATAATTGGCTCCCTAGGTACGAACAAAAACTGTAGACACAAAAACATTAACAAATTCCCTGCTCGTCACTGTTTATAAAAATATATTTTTTAAACTTTCATTTTGTCGAAAGCTCACCTATTCAAGAGAGTCATATCGATACAAAGAAAAAATGCATCTACTTAAATTGACTGGATCGCTAGTCAAAATATAAGGAATAACCTTTGGAGTTTAGAATTTGTAAGACTTTTCTTAAGATACTATATCGAAAAATTATTTAATTTTTATTAATTTGCATGTTTAAAAAAGACACACGACGTGAAATTAATCCTTAAGGTTTTAATGAATTATCTATATTTTTATACTTGAAAACTCAGTATATTTAGATATTGACAAATGAGAGATCAGTACACAACATAAATTGTCTGTTTTTTTTAAGAGCAGACCAATCAAGTATCATTTCTGAATTTGAGCAAACAGAATCCATATATTTACTAAATTGGTTTACTCTAGGTTTCGAGTAATGAACCGGGATGGGATTTTTACTAAATTGAAAGCAAAATGCAACAACAACAATAATAATAACAATAATCCTTAAATATAATGCGCCACACACACACACACACACATATATATATATATATTTGTGTGCAACAATTGAGGGGCGGTGTGCAAAATTTTGACATGAGATGAACAGAAGTCATGACCTCATTCAAGCAAAAGGCTATTGCACTGACAAACCCCCTTCTGCCCCTCTCTCTGCAATCAACGAGCAACGTGAAAGGAGTGATGGAAAGTAACCACGGAAAGAAACAGATACATGACTGTAAAGAAAGAAGGAAAGAAAGAATTAGAGAGTGGGGAAATAGAATGTGATAGAAAGAGGAGATAAATATATATAATACAAAACTTGGGCGAGGTTTATATTTTATTTAAGCTTGAAACTTCATATGAAGCCACGTTTCTTCGAGGTGTCTTGCATTGTGGGATCGACTAGCACTAGCGATGAAATTCTAATTTCACAGCCAATTTGACTCTCAAGAACACCAAGTGTCTGTCACAAAACGCGCACACAATGCGGGTAAATTACGGATATCTTTCCTGAGGTGTTTATAAACTGTATACTGTTCAATTATTAATGTTAACAACGAGCTATGTAATACATATTACTTATAATACATTGCTTGCCGGCAGTTTTGACACTAGTAATAATAATAATAAGGCCCTTGAAAACGGAATCTTAAAGATGTGGCACATGAAGACAGCAATAATTCCAGTTATATTTGGAGCCCCGGATTGATTGGGAAATGTTCCGGTTGACTCCTTGAAGTGATTCCTGGTAGCCTATACCTTGAATATATACAAAAATTGTACTCACAAGTACAGCTCACAGATTATGAATAGTTTTATCTATGTAAAGAGTGTGGGATTTTATTTTATTATTGTTTGTTTTTTTGTTTTTACAAAAATAAGCCGTAGAGAAAGTCATGAAGCCATTTCTGACCTTAGGTCTCTGATTGGGACCCTAAAGAAAATGCATATACAACAGAAATTCAAGGAAGAAATAATAATAATAATAATAATAATAATAATAATAATAATAATAATAAATCAATGGCTGTTCTTGAAAAGAAAAGATACTAGTTAGTATGAGATTTTTGATTCCAAGCACCCACACACTCCAAATATGAAGTCTAAATTTGCTAATCGTGAGTAATATACTGAAGCACCGACAGATCGTCAAGGTTGCTGTATCCTAGTAGACGTTGCATTAACTTTTGATACGGAACAAGTGAAAATACAGAAATTACAAGACTAGGGCATATCAGAGAATTATTTCAAACAGCATCTTAAATTGTCCCTTTTGTCGTTGGCGAACACGGGACTATTTCCAGAAATGTTTATGACTGAAATACGTGACATCATTAGGAGTGCGTCGATAGCAGTAATTCATAGAACAGCTCGTGTGCTGAGGAGAGTGTTATGTCACTAAACTGCTGGTAGGAACGGAGATGTGATCTGCATCACCCGGCCAAAACATCGAAAACTTGGAGAGGATATTAACTGCTGCTGCTGATAATAATAATAATAATAATAATAATAATAATAATAATAATAATAACAACAACAACAAAAATCCAAGGAAGAAATAATAATAATAACAACAACAACAACAACAATTCTTTTTGTTCCTTGGCTCCTGAGTGAGTTAGAACATACATTACGCCCTGCCGATACCACATAATGGTTTCAGTGACAAATAGAAAGAAAGAAAAGGACGATAGAGGAGAGACAGCACTCTCGTATTTAACGCTTCCTTCATTGAAATGCAAAAAATATACAATCTCAAATATCTTACGCCCTTATCTTGCTACACCTTTACTTCTTTAAATGATGAACTGTGTTCATATTTTGTTATAAGTTGTTAACCTCAAATATTCAACAAAGAAATAAGGACGTTTATACGCGTACTTTATAGTCATGCAACTTGCAAATAACTTATTCAATCATTAACCTAAGATATTAGATGCATTACAAAATTAAAATCGGAAAACTGTAAACCTTCTCAGCAATAATATTTGGGAAATCCGATTGGATTTTATCATAATTCATCCTTACATTAGCTTCTAGACTAAGTAAATTTCTTCGAAAAATTGATATTCACAGACCAGCGTAATTAGGCTAGATTACCTGATTTCAAAATAGTTAGATTTATCGAATCCTGAATATCACCCTTTTAATAAACAAATCAGGTAAATTGGAAGTGCATGATAATTTAAATAAATAAGAACTTTTCCAAAAATGTGAAGATGATAATTTCAGCTATAATAGAGTTGCATTTAGAACATCCCTGAGAATTAGAAGATTGAAATAATTAAAGATCTGAGTTTAAAAAAATATTTTTGATCTTTGTGAATAGGGTATCGATTGGTGTTTTTGAATTGACTATGTCCACTTGCATTGTCTTGTAATTATTTGCTTACAGGGGATCAAAATCAAAGGCTTCTTTTAAAACAAAATTTGCTCAAACTAACAGCTTGTTGGCGTGTCTCTTTTATGATCTTTTCCCTTTTAAATCAAATTTTTAATCTTATTTTAGATTTTATTTTTGACGTTTTTTCTCAAGATATGTTGCACTAATATACAAAATGCAAGTATGCTATGGATGTGAGCAAGCAGATTTTAAATTACTACTAGTCATTTTTTGAAAAAAAAAATATATATTAAAATTTTATTAACAAAATTTTGTCTACTTTTCATATATATATATATATATATATATATATGCTTTACAGTAATAAGAATTTTGATTTGCCTTTCTGAAACGATTCATTTTAGAATTATATATAAAAGAATACTGTGCATGTGTGTGTGTGTGCGTGATCTCAAAGAAGTTAACAAACCAAATTTGTTGGACAAATTCTTGAACTTTTTAAAATCCTTGTCCAAGAAACAAAATATTAGCCACCTCCCATTACAGTCAAATTGCAAAATTCTTTTTTTTTTAAACTGTTTAAATTTTAGCTGTTGCATCAAGCAGCGATGTTGGGGCCGGATATTCGAAAACCTTTAAAGATATTCAAATTCCATTCTGAGAATTGACTACACATTTCAAGTGGCATGGAAAGCAGAATCTAGAATACCTAAAGTATCAACGAGATGAGAAAAGATTTGAAATGACTGTCCTAAAACATCGTAAAAACACTATGAAAACCTCTACAAGAATTCAGAAATTTACGAGAAAACTGAAGAGGACTCCTAATAGGGCATGAATTCCGAGCTTTTTGAAATGGTAGCGTGGCAAATGGCCGATGTAATCAAGTGGAGAAAGAAATAAAAGAAAATTACAATATTATCCTAATGAGCTAATTATCTCGTAGTAAAAGTTCGAAATTCTTGAACCAAAAAATAGGATCACATGTAAAACCATAAAAGGAAAATAATGATGTGTTGATAAGGGAACCCGGAAGCATAAATTTAGATGATGAAAGAATTAATAGGAAAAAGTTTTGCATTTCCTTTGAAATAATTCTAGCTAATATTTCCACAAGCGGATATAGAGAGTACAGATGAATAGAGAATGGAAATGGAGGCAAAGAGAATATCGATTTTCTTCCCCATGGCAACCACTCGAAAGACGGGTGAATAGTTTTCAGATATTTGTCTATGATAAGATTCCGATACTTGATTGTTATAATCTATATTTTTTAACCAACTGGAAGAGTTTAAAGCTTGCTGGTAATATTATTACGGTCTTCTATTCTTGATATACGAAACTTCCGAAAGTTTTACTTATGTAATGGTAACTACAGCAGTAGTTTAGTAAGTAATAACATACATTATAACTTTAGTTATAAGACATTTTTTTCTATTGTCTTTTTACTATTGTTACTCCTGCTACTACTTGTAACAACTGATAATAATAGTAGCATTGATGATAATGAATATATTGAGAATCTAAGTGCAACTAGAATTATAGAAAAATGAGTAATTTGAGAAGTCAATACAAATCTCAGATTTTCTGTCTTCTTTTGGAATTATACTAAAGTAGATTTCTGGCTTAAGGCCATATCATGTCGAAACACTGGTCCTCGTACGATCACCGAAGTTAAACAAGGCTGAGCCTAGTCAGTACCTAGTTGGGAGATCGCTTGCGAATACCAGGTACTGTAAGCCTTGATATGCAGGCGTTCTAATGGAAAACGACTGGGAATTGGATTACAGTCGGGTTGGTTATATTCATTTATGCGCAAGTACCCTTGGAAAATGAATACTTCGCCCAGATATGGGATAATTAGCTGGACTTTTATCAATTAATTATTATTGTTTCTAAAAAATTCTTACATTCTAAAAATATTTCATGGCTTTAAATATCATGGAAAAACAAATCAGTCAATCATAAAGTAGGTTTTTGCTGATATTTCATATTGATTGATTTTGAAATATCGAAAACAAAAATCATTACATAAAGTTTGCCCGTAATGTTTTACTTCACCATTTCTGCTAATCTATTAACCACAGATAGCGTAAAAAAGACTTAGTATTCCAGTAAAGCAAACAAAATTAAACGATTCGACAGTTTCAGATTAGTGAATTACTTTTCAAATATTACGCGCACAATACGTTACCAAAAAATAAGATTTGCAAGCGTTCGGTATGAATTTGAAGCAAGAGAAATCAGTAGTGTTTTTTTAAATTTTGAAACTAACAAACAAAATGCTGATTTAGTGTCAATTATGAACTCTGTTGATTATCTAAGCTCTGCTAAGCAATCCATTTTATTTTAATTTTAAATAAGCAAAATGGCACGTACCAAACGTTGAAATATAACAGAGAGATGGACCATTGCTTCTCTTGTATAGTTAATAATTGCTGTAAAGTAGCTTTTGGGGTCAGGCGTATTCATTAATATCATCGGCAACATCCGACTCAAAGAAACATTTGTCAGCAAATGCGTCCATAAAAACAGATGCTATCTAAGTTTATATTTGTAAGTAAAATATATATATATATATATATATATATATGTGTGTGTGTGTGTGTGAAAAGTGTATATAAATATAAATAAATATAAGTATGTATAATTATTTATATATTATATGCGCGGTACTTATTGGAAAGCGCTCAATATCTGAGATAGAGCTAACATATTTGGTTGGATAGATGTGAGTTTGTGACCCTGGGTTTGTCTGACGATCACTAAAGCGTGAAACCCAGGGTTACAAACTCACATCTATCCAACTAAATATATATATATATATATATATATATATATATATATATATATATATATATATATATATATATATATATATACGTGAAAAGTGTGTATATAAATATATATATATATATATATATATATATATATATATATATATATATATATAATTATTTATATATTATATGCGCGGTACTTATTAGAAAGCGCTCGATATCAGAGATAGAGCTAACATATTTGGTTGGATAGATGTGAATTTGTGAACCTGGGTTTAAAGCTTTTGCGATCGTCAGACAAACTGATTATTTTTTTTTAAATATTGGGTTTATGTAGATTGCGTGTATGTTTCGCTACACTTCCAATCTTTGAATTTCATCATACAAATGAGTATGTATAGACACAACACCACCCGTATACATACATATGTCATATCCAAATCTGTCCACATATGTTTATATATGTATGAGTCCGGACGGACGACCAAGTGTGTATGTGTGTCTGCGTACTTCATTGGGCGTATGAACATACAACGATGTTTGCGTTAGCACGATGACATCACGACGACGTCCCCTCCCTTCCATAATAACACCAATGCACGCAATCTACATAAACCCAATATTTAAAAAAAAATAATCAGTTTGTCTGACGATAGCAAAAGCGTGAAACCCAGGGTCACCAACTCACATCTATCCAACCAAATATATATATATATATATATATATTTACTTTCAAATACAAAATTATTATATATATATATATGTATATATTGTTTAAGGAACCCGGCCTTCTTGCATATCGTAGACCGAAGAACCTAAAAGAAATCATAGGTAGTAACCACATTTTAGGGGACAAGGTAATCCGTAATAAACTAAGAACAAAAACAACAGGATTTTCCCAACCATGTTACAACAAAAGAAGTTTATGTTGCAACCATATTAAAAACACGAATTCATTCACGAGCTCAATCACTAAATCTACTTTCAAAATCTACCGCGATTCTATCTGTAGAAGTCATAACATAATTTACCTCCTAGAATGCACACTATCCTAGAAACAATATGTAGGAAAATCTGAATGGCCCTTTCACTACAGAATTAATAATTATCGTAATCGAATTAAGTCGACTCCCCATGAAAAAGTATTACCTGTAGAACAACATTTCCGCCTGGAAAAACACGATTTCAAAACCCATGCCAAATTCACTATAATTGAGAGAATAGAAAAGTTCAGAGCAGATAACATTAGAAAGATTTTAGAGTCCCATGAAAATAAGTGGATACAACGTCTAAAGACAAAATATCCAGCCGGGCTAAATCATAAATTTAAAAATACAGATAGTACCAATATATAAATCAACAAATCAAAACCTACCCACATTTCTCACCCACACAAGACAGACATGCTTGCGGAGGTGTGGAGGCCTCACACTTATACACACACCCACACGAATATACACGCTTACACAAAAATCTACTCACTCACTCCCTAAGAACCAAATAACACACACACAAACACTAAACAAAGACACATCCCCTCACCAGGTCCAATAAAACTGTCAAACTGACTAGAGAATTCAGAGCAGCATGTATATCCAGCTCTTATCTCAAATAACAACTTAAAAGAGAGTGTTTGACCAACACAAGAATTGTTAAAAGATTCATGTTAAAAAGATAAAAAAAATAAAAAAAACAAATGAAAACTACAGACAAAAGTTCATTTTCTCCAGCAAAAGATACATTTCTGTAGTTTACTGCTACCAGCAAGCAGAAATATTTTTTAAACGTTATTTTTATTGGATACTCATATTTGAGTATGCTCTCCATTTATTTATTACACAATATATTTAATTATTTTCACCCAACGGACTGAAATTTTGTATCAGGGTTCGGATGCGAAACTGTGTGCAGATATGAAAAACTTCGTGAGATTTATGACGGGAAAAATTTGGCTTAAAAGCACGAAATTGTTAACACTCGATCGATCGCTCATCGTGGTCAAGTCGGTAAGGAGAATTGGTCGCTCCCTAAGAAACGCATGCTCGATCCCAGACGGAGAGCGCAATTTTTCTTAAAATTTTTTTGAACATTCTGGCCAGTAGGTGAAAACGAATAAATATAGAGCTGTTTGATAAATAAATAAACGAAGCGCCTCGTCAAATAAACAGAGAGTATACTCAAATATGAATGTCCACTAAAAATAACGTTAAATGTGATTTTTTATATATATATATATATATATATATATATATATATATATATATATATATATATATATATATATATATATATATAATGATACAATATATATGCAAATGTATTTTTATTAATTTAAAATACGTTTTCTAATAGAGTATCTCTAATATAGATATGAGCACGTGACCAATTATTTAGAACGTTACAGTTTCCAGTTCTCTCTACAGTAGATCTGTCAGGGATCCACAGTTGGAACGAAATATAAACCCAAATCACAGGTTAGCTCAGTTTTGTGAATGAAAATGTGTTGTCGAAACTATTAGGAAGCCGTCGAAAGTTGTACCAGCGCGCAGTCACAAGTCATTGTGAACGAAGGTTTGGGTGCACTGACCATGTTCAACTGCAGATCCAATCATACTATTATTTTTTCACGGAAACTGTACCTCGGGTTTCCTCAGCATATTGCCACATAAGCCACAGGTTGCTTCAGTGAGTGTTGGAAAAACGTCTGAGTAGGGGCCTGAAAAAAGTGTTAACTGCCCAGCCAAACAGGCGTTATATTCTCCCGAAACTGACAGATGCCTAACATATATAGCAATGTTGCAGAGCATTTGCAATTGGATTTTCATTAATTTAATATGAGATTTTTATAATCGATTATCTTACATACAATTTTAGTATAGTCCTTTTTTGTTGGGTGTATGCCATCGCAGTGGGTATGTCATTCGTTATGAATGTGTTCTTTTTACATTATTCGTCATTAAATATTTAAAGAATTCACATAAAAAACTATTAAATGCAGATTTGTGCTTTTTTTCAACGTTGAAATTTTGCCGCTCCACATTTTATTGTAAAAAAAAAAACAAACTTGTTTTTTCATACAGTATTTATTTCCTTCTAATATAAAGATATACCCTAGACAACCATGGACTGAAGTCGCCGTTTAAATTGATTCTTCTCGTGGTACCGGTCAAGCTGAATTGGGAATGGATATTTTCAGGGCAGGCAAACTTTCCTCTTTAGAAACAGTCACAAGAAAATCTTCTTTTTTATTCCATTCCTTCCGATTTGACCTTGAGTCATACTAAACGAAACCTGTAAATATCATATTCACTAACAAAATCAATTATTAATAAATCACGAATTATCTGCTATCTTCTGCAGGTTTTCCTTCTATTGACTCAGATCATTCAATCTTTATTTTATCATTTTTCTTTTCGCATAAAACATTGACTGATGAGACATGATTTATAATTCTTTCATAAAATCATATTTGATCGATCGATCTTCATGTATTGATAATTATTCAACAGTGACATACTGATACATCATCCTTTCTTTAAACGTTAAAGAGAAGACTTGAGAAAACAGAAATGTGGTTCTACAGAAAGATACTGAGAATATATAGACAGAGCGTGTAACCTACGAAGAAGTATTAAGGAAAATACAACAAATAAAATTCTTAAAATCAGAAACAATTCTGGGAGACGCAATGGGAAAGGAAAGCCTGGAAGAATTGGAATTCACAGGACATATCGAAGGCTACATAGACAGAATGTCGCAGAAGGTTTTCTACCAGACAAGATTATGGGAACTGCAAGAGACGGTAAAAACAAAAATTACTCCGAATTATACGGAATAGGAGCTCACATATTTAAGGGACACTTACAAAATATATTGCCTTTAATACGTCTTGCGAATGTTAAATTCTCCTGACATTTTTTTATCATTATATCTCCAAGAAATGTCCAATGACTATTTTTG